CATCACACTCAGTAATAAAAGCAGACTGCGGGCAGGAAGTTTCTTCCAAAGTAGCTGTTGCTTGGAGACTGGCTGGGCACCAGTCTCCTAGTGGGAGGTGGTGAGTGGTTGACTTTGCATCACTTAGTTATGTTCTTTTTATCCACTACAAGACTTTTATGTCAATCCATAGGTATTTTTCCCTTGGCTTCACCCTGCTAATTCTCTTCCTCATCTTGTAGGAAGGAGTGAGTGACCAAGTGGCAGTGGGGGCTTCACTGCTGCCTAGGATCAGCCCACCACACGCCTTTTTTCCCAGCTCACTCCCCAGTATCAGCAGCTTCTTGTGGAACACAATTGATCCTGTAATTAGTGAGCATTTTGCTCCAGGGAGGAGTGAAGTGCATGAGAGAGTGAGATGGTACAGAGCTCTTTCTACATCACGTCAAGAAAGGTTCAACAAAAACCAGCTTAATAAAACAGCCGTTTTAGTTAGATGGAATGAAAAGAGGAATGTGTCCCTTCTGATGCTGAGCACCATGCATTGGATTAGTGATGAATGGAGTCTGCATGGTACTTTGCCATGGCACACAGTGCAGATCCCATCTGTGGAGACGTTCCTCTATTACATATCTTCTTGAGAGAAAGCAGCTCTGCTCCTGAAGATTGTTGAGGTGAGAAGTTCTGGCTGCATTGTTGGACATGGGCAAGATATGCAGGTGGACTGGGAGCTGTCTATGGACTCCTCTGATACAGCCAACTGCTGAGGTGACCTTGATGCCATGGCATCCCAAGAGCAGGTGGGGAAGAATTAATTGGAGCCAGCTGGACCTGTTTGACAGAAGAGCAGAATGTGGGTTAAGCAGTCCTGGTTCAACTTCCTACCTGTGTAGCTGCTTACTCAGGTGAGAAGTTGAACCAGGACTGCTGTTTGTTTATTTCCCCACTCTGAACTCTGCCCGTTGTTTACAAAGCTGTAATGGTTTGAAGAAGGGTTCATGCATCTCTGCCAGCTGTCAGGCTGATTCCTGCTCTGACATGTTTGCTTTTTTCTCCATTTTTCTGTGGAGATGGTAGCAGTCCAAGTACAGAGAGGAGTTTAATCATCAACTTCCATGGTCGTGGTTCCTGCTCCCCAGTGCAAAGCATGTGACTACTGCCCAGGGATGGACTTGTAGGCTTGGGCATGTTTGTCAGAGCTCCTTGTTGGAAGTGCAGAGGGTGTTCCTCTGCATGCAGGTGGGTGTTCCACTCATGCTGATATTCACTGTTCTGTTTGCAAAGACCAGCTCAGAAGGAGAAAGGAAGAGTGGTGAAAATGTGCAATAAATCTGTATCTCCTATTAATGCTATCTTGATCCTGCCCATCAGCTGCTGAAACAGGGGCTCACCAGTGCTAGGAGAGGCCAGCAGGTAGCTTCTGCCACCAGTTGCAGCAGGGTTGCTTTAAAAAAAATCAAAAAATGGAGAAGAGGACAGCTGATTTAGTGATAATACATTATGGTAGGAATGGCCAATTTCAAGACCCATTTACTTGTTTTATGAATAGTACAGTGAATATTTCTTTTTAATGTCCCCAAGGCTGTAGTTGTAGAGTGAGATATATAATGTGATAATTGAAGGGAATTTGGCTACCATAGGGATTAACTTTATCCTTTTATTGTGTAGTGTGTTCAAGAAGTAACTTAGAGCTTATCGGCACTTTAGCAGGGTCTTGCAGGGACTTCATATGCTTGCTTCTGTGCAACAGCATTTCTCTAATGTAGAATATAAAATAATTTTAATACTCATCTTTCAAAATCAATTGACAGAACAAGAGACTGGTTGGGAGACGTGCAGCAATCTGCTATTTTTGCTACTGCAGTAACTACAAGCGAAGTACCAACAGCTGTCCTCCTCCTCCTGTAAAAAGCTGCGACGACATGGCTAAGGCTTGTCATGAAATTGGTCCATTGGGTGGTTCATTCCTGTGTCCTGTTGGTCCCTGTGTAGTCCTGGTAGGAATATGGCCATATGAAGCCAAGTTTAGAAATGGGGCTCTGCTTACTTTTTTAAAGTAAATGGACTTATTTGCAAAAACTAAACCTTATATAGTAATTTTTACTGCCTCTATCAACATTAAAGTTAAAAGCCCTTTGAAAATATCCCACATCTGTTTGCCATTTTCAGCTTGCTTAAACCACACCCAAAGATACTACAGGAACATTTCTTATCAATTTCTTAATCTAAAATAAATCAAAGTTCTTGTGGTGTTTGCAGGTTTGGGGACTACGTTGTTACCAAAATGTTAACTACTAGAAGCTAGTTCATAACTTGGTGGCTAGAGCTGCTGACATAATCAATTTCACTTCTCCTACAGTAGATGTCCTAAAATGATTCATTTAGTCTTCAAAGACCTGGTGTGAAACTTTGTCTGCTTCTGTTTTCTGAATGGGTAATGTAGTTCCAGCAAATAGAGGATTTTTGTCCTAATGGGGGAATTTTGCCAGTCTGTGTGAAAAAATAAATACACCTGTTTTTTTTCTCCTCACTTGAAACAGAGGCTTGCTGTCTGGCAGTGAAGCAGTACTATTTCTAGGGTAGGCTCTGCTTTTACATCAAGAGGGCGGTCCTTCTGAGCTCCCTCTCAGTTACTATCTCCCAGAGAAAGAAACCTGCTTTCATATGAAGCCTCACAAGGCTCATTCTTGTGTGATTGCACTCAGACCTGCAGGTTGCGGAACTTTTCCTTGATGATGCAAGACTTCAATCACCTGTTATCACCTCAGGTTTAGATAAATTTCTTCCAGCACACTCTCCTACCGGAGTCTTGCTGGGTCTGCTGTGGTTGGGTGTTCCTGTGCCAGGCAGGATGCTACGCTGGAGGCAGCAAGCACCTCAGGATGGCACCACTACTAAAAAAAAACCCTGAGCTTGGCTTTTTAGAATATCCTGAGACCTGAAGAGTCCCTTCCTGATGCTGGCAGCTGCTCAGCCCGAGGAGTTCAGCCAGCCTGTCATTCCTCCTCCTACTCAGTGTCTGGTGTCACTGGTCAGTTTAGCTTACATCCATGGATTAACTCCTGAACAACTAGGACATTTTTTAGTGACCTGAACTAAATTGTGTTCACACAGCAACGAGCGGTAATTCACATTTTTTACCCTTACAGTTTCAAGTAAGGGAAAACAATGTCTGTTTAGGCAGTTGTCTGTTTCCAGTTGAGGATTTTAGAATCTGAATATTGTACACAATTTGTTATTGAATAGACTTAAGAGCATCCTGCAATAATTCTGGAAGCTAACCTGGAGATCTGGTGGCAGCTTGGGTAGTTTCTGCTACTTAGGTAATCATTACTTCAAAATACCTGTTTTCTCAAGACAATTTCTTCATGATCTCTCAAAATACTTGCATTTATATAACAAAAATTGGCTTTCTAATCTGGGCTACTCCTATTTTCAACTTGAAGTTTGTTTAGACCATTGTGCTTAAGGAAAAATAATGTGCTAAGGGCTCCAAGGAAAGCATGTAAAGAAGTTGGCATAACTGCCTGATGATAATGCACAAGTGATACATGAAATATGAGCCATTAATAATAAAATGTTTTAAATAATGCAGTTTATACATAATTGGATTGTTATAGTCTGAGTGAGTCAGATGCGATGACATCAGGAACTTCAGGATCCTCATCCAAAAATCAGAGTTCAAAACATCAACTATGTATTTTTAACTTTAACAATCAAACTATCAAGTCTGTGTAATGGAATAGAGCTTTGTTCAAGTAGCAAAGCTGCTACTTCCTTGTAGGAAAGCTAAGTCTCAATGTTATCCCTGGTCACCCAGTCTACACAGGAGGCTGTTTTGGGTATTTGTGTAATGGTACTCCAACAATGTCTTTGACAAATAGATTCTGTGGTAATGTGCAGGTTCATGTGCTGTGCATATGCTGCAAGAATTGCCCATTGGAAGAAATGGTTGCAGTTGAGCAAGGTGCTGCTATGCAGGAAGTAAACAAAAGGCTTTTGAAATCCCAAAACAGACATTTCTATTTTTAATTCAGCTCCTTTTCCCTTTTAACAGTCACAAAAAAACCATTTGCAGTTGTTGCTATAGGACACAAAATCATACATCACTCAGATGCAGGAAAACCCATCTCATTTCCTACCTGTTGGATGAGCAGCAGGGGATGAGCAGCCTTCCTTCTACTTCCAAGGCAGAAGGAAGCATGTCTGGGGTAGTATTATGGGGAGCCCAAGGAACAAGCTTTGAGGACAGCTGTGCAGCCACTTGGATACATGGTGGATGATCCACCCTTTTAAGTGTGGCTGAAGGAGGTGGATGCAGTGTGCATGCTGTCATTCTCCACAAAACACCTGTGTGCAGCACTTGTCCTCTCCTGGCCCAGTGCAAGCAGCAGTAGAGGCTCCCTGGTCACTTTGGGTCTGCCCTGCTTTGGGTCGAAGATGCACACTTTCCCTCCCCACCCACTGCAATTCAGAGAGCCACAGAAATCAGAGAATCATAGAATGGTTTGGGTTGGAGTAGACCATCTAGTTCTAACCTCGCTGCCATGGATGCCTTTCATTAGGCCAGGTTCCATCCAGCCTGGCCTGGAACGCTCGCAGGGATGGAACAGCCACAGCTTCTCTGGGCAACCTGTTCCAGTGCCTCAGCACCCTCAAAGTAAAGACTTTCTTCCTAATATCTAATCTAAATCTACTCCCTTTCAGTTTAAAGCCATTCCCCCTTGTCCACGAGGCATGACGGAATTTTCCATAACTCCTGGGGAGCAGGACCCGGGGTGGTAGCTCAGCGCAGCGCGAGGAGGAGAAGGCGCCCAGGTGCGCCCGGGGGAGCCGAGCCGCCCACGGTACCCCGGCGCTGCCCGCCGTGTCCCGGTACCGCCCGCGGGCAGCAGCGCGGTGCAAGCGGAGGAGGGGCCCGGCCCCGGTGCCGGTGCCACCGCTCCCCGCCGGAGGAAGGGGCGGCCCCGGCGCTCATTGGCGGGGGCGGGGCCGCTCCCGGTGCGTCACGCGCCGCCCCGGCCGCCGCTGCCCGCCCGCGGAGCGGCGCCGGGGGATGCAGGCGGCGGCGGGAGCTCGGGGAGCAGGTGCGGGGCAGGCGGCCGTGCTTGTCCGCGGGGCGGGGAGAACGCGGGTGGGCGAGGGAGGCGGAGGAGCCCCCTCGGAGACACGACCCGGGGGCCGGGCGGGGGTGGCGACGGAGCCGCGTGTCCGCGCCCTGCTCGGCCGCTCTCAGCGATGGAGCGGCGCGGCTGCCGTGCCGGGGCCGGGCTTCCCCTGTGGAGCACCGGGCTGGGACCGGGGCCGGGGCCGGGGCCGAGGCTGAGGCTGAGGCTGAGGCTGAGGCTGGAGCTGGAGCGGGGGCGGCCTCGACCCGCCCGCGGCAGGGTGGTGGTCCGGGCTCGCCAGCGCCCGGCTGGCAGCGGCCGGAGCCGCCCTTGGCAAAGCCGGGCTCACGCCCCATCCCTTTCCCCAGGTCCGGGCCCCGCGGGAGAGGGCGCAGTCATGGTGCCGCATCCCGGCCAGGAGCCCGCCCGTGGCTAGAGCCGGCCGCGGCCGGAGAGCTGCGGCGGGGCACCCTCAGCCTGAGGGCATCCCTCAGCCTGAGCGCCTCCCCGCGCGCCCCCGGCATGGAGCCGGGCGGCCTGGAGTGGCTGCTGGTGCCCATGCAGCAGCTGGTGTCCTGGGGCGCCGCGGGGGCCATGGTGTTCGGCGGCGTCGTGCCCTACATCCCACAGTACCGGGACATTCGGCGGACCCAGAACGCGGAGGGCTTCTCCACCTACGTCTGCCTGGTGTTGCTGGTCGCAAACATTCTGCGCATACTTTTTTGGTAAGTTGGCTGTGTTTCTGCTCGGTTCTAAAGGTTCCTGCTTGTTTGCCAGCTGTAAAGCTTTGATTGGAATGTTTGAAGAAATAATGTTTTACGTACCTTTTCCGTTCTCTTGAAAATCTAAATGCTGTCTTTCCATCCGTGTGTGTCTGTTAAGTAGAATGAAATGGGCTGGGAAGCATGGTCTGTTTCCCTTGACAGATCTGATGATCAGCACTCTGATTTCCAAGAGAAAACTTTTTAACATGTTGGTAAAGAGGTTTATGCTAAGTCAGGTCTTTTTTCTTGCCGACTGTATTTTGCATTTCTCATACTCCTCTATCTCCATTTTCAGAGTGAAAGCCTCGGTACCACACACTTATTCTAGTGTCTGGTTGGCATTAGCGTCACTGGAACACTTGTCATATAGTCTTGCATTTTCTCAGGGTACCAGCTGACTTCAGAGGGGGTTCACTTGTAGATCTTCATGCACAATTACAGATGAAAATTTTCATTCTTGAATAAGCGAGGATGTGGCTTGAATAAGCCTTTCAAAAGCAAATTTCTTTTGCTTTCAACACCTGTTTCAATACTTAAGAACAAGTTTAAGAACAAGTTTGTTTCCGTATTTTGGTCTTGTGCTGCTGGACAAAGAAAATGTTATTACAGCGTGATTTCTGTGAATCAACGTTATAAATATCTTGCTCATTACTACTCATTATATAGGTGCTGCACCACTGAGAATGTACTTGGGATTAAATGGTCTGGGCAATTACTGCAGCTAAGGACAGTTATTCTGTGATTCTGTTTTGATTACAAAGTAATGCTTTTTAATCCATAAAGAACTGATAGGTAACAGGCTGCATCCATTTGTTGGTTTTCAGTTTCTTTTTAAAGAAACCTCCTCTGACTCTGTATAATGCCTTTCTGGGTTCTGCTACAGCAAAATGTAACATGTAAATGCTGTGCTGGAGTGGAAAACAGGAGACCCTTTCTTGGCACCACAAGCTGGCAGTCAAACAGAGGAATCATCACTAGAACAGAGCTACTTGTTGCATTGGAGCTGTGTTTTCCTGGGGAGAAGTACATAGAGAAAGCAGAGAGCAGAAGGGAAGTAGAGGAACTGGCAGGAGGAGAAGTGAAGAGTCTGAGCTGACAGTGTTAGAAAGAGAAATAGTCTAACTTTTGGTTTTACTGGAGGCAGTCAAAATATAAAAATGGCTTACACCTGAATGGAGATGCTGGCAAATTCTGGGTACTTCAGGTGAGCACATCTGTTAAGTGAGACTCAGACTATGGAAAAGCTGAAAGATCTTTAATTTGAATTGATTTTAAGTACATCTAGTTAAGAGATGTGTGAAAGTATAAATGCTGCAAGTAGTGAAAAGTTATAATTTATATCAATATTGAAAGGTTTGTCAATACCTCAAAAGAGAGAGAATGCAGTTATATTGATAGGAGTATGTATGAGTAGTTAAGCCACATAATAGTATCACTTCCTGACACATATGAGCACTGTGTAAGTTCTTGGCACCTTGGAGCCTGGCATGGAATGGCTTCACACAGGAGTTTGCAGAAACCTTTCTGTCTGTACTTGCAATGAATTGTCTCTCTCTAGTTCTGCTGAACGAAAAGACACAAGAGTACTTGCATAAAGATAATTCAGTGTTCTGGGAGAGAATATTTTGCTTGTCTGCCTAAAAAATTAGGCACCCCTGGTAGTTAGCTATAAGCACCAGTAAGTCATGAAAACAGCATTGAGGGTGGATGTTATCCTCGGGTATCTGGATGATTAAAGGAGGATCATAGAGCAAGAAACTGTGAACATTGTAAAAATGCACCCACAGAGCATCTTGGCAATTCAATTTTTTGCATTTTTTAATTAATGTCGCCTACGGCCGATGCATTATCTGGGACACAATGCTCTTGATAATGATATATACAATTAAAATAATTCTGCTGTTTATGTAATATTCTTTGGAGGAAATTAGAAAGTTTTTATTTATTTTGTTTTAAATTTATTAAAGAATGTAATTAATTCTGGTGCCAGGACAGAATTGTTCCTACAAGTAATTTTGTTCTGTACATAATTTTTTTCCCCATGTACCACTTGACGTTCTCCTTCCCTTTACCAAACCCAGTATTAATCCAAGTCTCTCTTCTGATAACTCTACTGCCATAAAGCTTCTGGTTTCATTTGGTTTCACTTCATTACCTCTGATCATTAAGCACGTGATTTGAGCCAGAGTAATTTTTTCTGGACTTCCCCTGCACTGTGATCCAAAAATAAGTACTTAAATTGTTAGGCCTTAAAAACTTTCAAGTTTTAATAGTGTTGCTTTTCAGCACTTAATTATGTCCTAGGATGGCTGATGTTTCTATTGTTTTTTTGCTTGTTTGTTTTGTTTTTAACTTCAAAGACACTTCTTGAGTTGTTTCTGTTGTTACTTCCAGGTTTTTCCTGAAATTTCATGTATTAAATTTGCAGCTCACAAGGACAGACTGTTCCTGCCTGTTATGTTTTATGCCTCTGTATTTTTGCTCTTGGGTAGTGCTGGTGTTTCTGTATTTGTGTCACTCGTAACAGAACCAGTCCTCCCACCTTTCTCTTACCTCCCACCTTTTCTCTTTCTCCTTCTTCTCAGCTATGGGGGCAATTCCTTCACATTCTCTTTGTGGAATGATGGATTCCACAGGTTCCTATAACTGTACTTGGTTATTTCAGAGGTTATCCTTTTTTGGTTTAATGCCTGGTTTTGTTGTGGTTTAAGTTTGACCTTTCATCTCCCCTCCAAATAGAGTATTTGCTTCCTAATCTTTTTGGCGTGTTTTATGTGTCAATAGAGTTTCAGCTGGTGGGTTGCGCTGTGACAGTAGCCAATGAACAAAGTACTACTGAGGTGAAGGATAACAATCCTGTTTCCAGTTACCTGTTCTCACCAACTGTTTCTCTGATTAGACTGTCTTCAGTGGTAAGCCATCTTTTGAAGTCAAAAGGACTCAGTGCAAAGCCTCTTCCTTGTCATTCTTACATCTAATTACTTAATTTCAAGGTTTTCCCAAAGAACTTTTAGTTTGCTAGTGATGACAATAGCACAGTATCCATTTTTCATGCTTCTCTTTCCAAAAATGTCTCAAAATGTCATCTTTAAGGAGCTGTTTCTGCTTTCAGTTATGTGTGTTTGGCCTTGTTGTGTCCCAGCAATGTGCCAGAACTTTGTGTGAGAGGATTGGTGTGGAAGACAGGGTATGGATAGCAATGGGTGTGATTCTACTTCACTTTATTTATGCATGCGTGGCTTTTGTTTAGGGAAAAGAAAGAAGTTTGGCCATGTTTAAGTCTTTTGCCCTTTAAAAAAAAATTGAAAGGTAGGCAGTTTGCGCTTATAACATCACACAAGGAAGTCTCTGTTTACCAGTGTGAAGAGCAGATTTTGTGCTGTAGTAAATTTTACACCAATTTAACTTTATTTTTAGTAGTAATTTGTTGTTACAATTTTATCTAACACATCAAAGCAGTATTTATTTTGGGGTGCCAGTATAGCTGCTGGATATGATTTATGGGTGCATCAGCTGCCCCTTTGTTTAGTCCTGCTATTGTCAGTACTGCTTCTCCTGTCTGTCTTCTCTAGCCCCACAGGTCATTGTTTCTCTGGACTGGTCAACTTGGGCAAAGTCTGCACTGTGGGTAGACATCACGAGGCAGTGCAGAACTCCAGGCCTTTGTAGTTCTGGTGCATATTAAAGTGTATGGCCTGCTCCAAAAAAAAAAAAACTGATTGCAATTTCCTTCCCTCTACATTTTTAATTAAACACTTCTTCACCATTTTTGATAGCTTGTGCTTTATGTCTTATTATACATTCTTGAGTTAGCTCTGTGTTCTTGCTCAAGGGATACCCTGAGCTTTGAGGTGATTAATTATCTGTTTAAGCTGTCCCAGGCTGTTTGGAAGTTGTGGGATGGCTCCTGAGTTGCCTGTGGCACTAGACCAAGGTGCACACATCTTCTGGGTTCGTGTGGCCTGCAGGCTGCCAGCTGAGTAGCTTTGCATTGTTATGATGGAGAACAGGAACGAGAAGGCGGGTGAGAGTTGTGTAATCAGTTGGGGGTGGAGGATGCAGAAAAACTTGCTTATGAGTTCTCCCCCTCTACCCCTTCTCTCTCTTCACCCTTTCTTTTTTAAAACAGAGATTATAAAGAGATAAATTACAGTTTCTTCTAATATTAAAATGAGAATAAATAGCTAGAGGAAAAGGAACTATAGATTTCTTAGAAATCAGCATAGACATTTTTATATATATATCTTGACTAAGTGCAGCTGAAAGTACTTATGTTGCCTGCTATCCCCAGAAGTTTTTTGGGATTTTTTTTCAATTTTACATTTTGTAAAATGGATGTCATTATATAATAGGGTTTGTGTATTTTCCAAGAAGACAATGTTCTTTCCAAAGGTTTTGAGCTGCAATTCCAAGGGACACTGTCCTAAAACTCATACAGCAGTGTCACAGAAATCCAAAACCAGAAAATAAAACCATCCAGTTTTGGAATTGTTCTCACAAAATAGTTGCCATAAGGCAAACCGTGGGAACAAGTTCTGATAGCCAGGGATGAGATGGAGACTATGGACTGTGTTATTTTTGATCAAAGGTAACCCTCTACCCATTCCACATCAGTTGACCTGAAACAAAAAGTCTTCTTAAAACAGCAATATCAGTAGAGCTCAGAGCTCTCTGTGCTGGAGTCAATGGAATAAGCTCCCTGTTTAAGAATAGAGGTTTAGAGACTCAAGTATGGAGCTGGAGGTCATTTACAGAGAAATGGTGAACTTGCTCTTGTCAGGGGTAGATTCCTACGTATTTATTGTGCTGTAACATCTACAGTGCTACTTGTGGACCAGGTCCCTTCTGTCTTGTGTTGCTGTTGCATTGGAAGGCAAAGCAGTGAAGTCTGAAGGACTTTCTGCAAGAAAGAGAAACTTGTGCTTTTAAGGCTTCTGTTACTAAAATGGATCTTGCCAGTTTTTACCATGTGTGGCATGTGGGATGATGCTATGAATCAAGCTGATAGAATGACTACAACTTTCAAAGATTAGCCTTACGTATGGCCTGCTGGTGGAATCTTGCTCAGATATTGAGAGCAAAAGTGTTATGCAATTCCTCCTCCTTTGTATGAGTGCCATAGTGCAGGGATAAGATTTTTGTGCAGAAAGTAAAGTAGAATTGTATATGCACAAGTGCAGAGCTTCATTTGGGATGATGTATAAAGTCCTGGAAGTTTGCATGTCAAGCGGAACGTTGTGTCAAAAGATCCTGTTGCAAACCTAGTTTGTTTCTTCTGCCTGCTTAAATGCTACGGGTTAAATTCTGTAATTGTGTGGGATGACTTTCAGGAGAGCTGACGTGCTGCTATGCTGGGCTATCTGTCGTGATCCTGGTAGTGTGTGATGTATCCTGTGTGCTTTCCATGTTGCCTAGAATCTGTAACTTCCCAAAGAGCTGAAAAGCAGACAGCAGATGAAAGCTAGAACATCATCCAGGAGTGTAGGAGGAACAGAGTGATCTGGCTGCACCAAAACCAGTCAGGTTCTTTTCAAAGATGTCTTAGGAAAAGTGATAAGCAAACCTTTCATGTTTGGTCTAGCTTAGGCTTCTTTTTCATAATCGGCATTTGCTGTTTCAAGTAGGCCCGGGACTGGAATAGCAGGGTTATTGCAGAATTGAATTGTACCAATGGAATTACATAGTTGTCTCAATAACTAGTTAGTCTCTGTTCTGGCTTGAACGTGCACTTCTCTTGTCTTCGTCAGCCTGAACATGCATTAGTCATTTGAAGGCTGTGGAAACACTAATAACATGTAAGCCACTCCCCCCTTTTATTTGCGTATTTGACTAGTACAGGAAATAAATGGTTCTTTTGTTTTTACAAATGCAGTAAACGGTGGAAAAGCTCTTTGTAGTCTGACATATGAACTGAGTTCCTTGAGTACTGCAATGTCACCGTTTACTTTGTTATACAACACTGTAGTTATGGGATGAAAATGCAGAATAATGGTGATGACCCCTCACCCCCAGGACTTCAAAGCTGATCTTTTCCGCAAGCCTGTTCTAGTATCCTAAGGCTCTTCACCTTACTCTCATAAGGTGCTTTAATTATCTTAATGTGCCTCCTCTCCTGGCTCCTGCTTATGCAGAGACAGAAATAATGTCTGTGAAGCAGAAGGGAAACAGAGCATGGAATGGCACACTCTCCCTGCAGGGCTTACATCCCATAGTGCTCCTGGCTCAAGCTGGCCTGAGGAGCCTTAAACTGGATTAGTGTTGCTTTGGCAGGCCCTGATATTAATGCATAGTAGGGTAAGTAGCTTGGAGTGGTGTTTGTGTCCATGAACCTGAGCAAAGTTAATGTTCTGGCTTTACTTCTACAGCTTCAAGAGCCCAAGAGTGGTCCTTGACAGTGGTGTTCCCTTCAGTCTTGCTGCCTAGTAGTGTGGTGTAATCCGCGTGGTGTAGTTTGCTCTGCCTATTGGTCTTCATGGCAGCTGTTTGTTCTCCTGTACACGAGATCTACTTGAGCGGGTTGTGTTGCCTGCAAGACTCATTCTGGCGTTTGGGGAGATACATTTCACATGAGTATGTTTTGTTGTATAACCTTTCTTCTCTTTGACTGGATGGTTGTGAAAAACCCTACAGGTGGTTTGCATTGTTTGAAGTTCCCATAAGAATTTTTAAGTTTCCGTTTTAACTCTGTTGTGTATTGTGAGTTTTGTTTTACTTTTTTCCCCACCTAATGTTTAGGGGGAGAGGGTCTGTAGCAATACTTGAATGTCATGACAAATAGTTGTGATCAGACGAGCAGGTGGCTGTGCTTATTTGTGTTTGTAGTGAGTGGGTATTTATACTGCAGGCAGTACTTTTGTGAGGCACCCATTAGTGAATGACCAATAATCTCATCAGCAGGGAGAAGCTAACCTTGCAGTGACCTGTGGCTGGATTTACTGTCATAATAGCTTCTAACTTGTTGTGCTGCTAGCTCAGCCCCTCTTAAATGCATTACTGTATTTTTACATGCAAATACATTTGTAATTGAAGATAGTTTTTCTACATCTCATGTAAACTGGTTTATAGTTGACTGCTCTGTAATTCTCAGTAAGTCTTTCCCATATTTTTTCTCATCTTTGAGTAAGAGACAAATATAATAGTATTGAATTCCAGTAGATGAGGGGAACTTGGCCACAGTCAGCAACACAGGCTGAATGAGCTCTCGAGTCATGAACCTGGAGCATAGGCTCGGCCAAACTTTTATTCTTTTCCCCTGCATTTTGAACTAGTACAGTGAAAGCCTTATTCAGAGCACACGCTGCCTATGATTATGCTTATCAGCTGTGTTCTTTATTTCCTTCCTCATAGTGTCCTCCAAATTTGTTACAGTAAAGGCTCCATTGAGGGTAGAAGTGGGGGACTAAAGGTCACAGAACTGCTATTCCTGCAGGAGTAACTGGTGAGCTCTCTGGCAGTAGTGTGGAGCCTCAAGGAGTTGTACTTTTCCTCAGCTGTATGCCATTAGGCAGAAATCCTTGGCTGTTTTCACTGATGTGGGCTGCTTGGCTCTTCTGCACACAATTTCCAAGGAAGCTAGTCAAGGACTTTCCAGTCTCTGTCCTGTTCCTTGTTAGTTGACTCACAACAAAAAATCTCTCTCTGGTGAAATGGCTGCAGTGGAAACACAGTATTGTGAGACAACATGGTGGTGAACCTAGTTGGTTTTTACTAGCATGGAGCTCGGCTGTAAAAGTAGCCCAAGCATAACAAATTACATTTTGCCAGGGTGCTGTAAAACAGGAACTGTCAAGAAGAGGGAAATAATTGCCATGCCTGTGAGGCTTGGGACTCGGTCAGCATGATGTGGTTGAAGATTGACCTTAGTAATTATGCTGTTAGGAAATTTAGGAAGCCTGTGTGCCTCACGGTGCAGGTGAGGGAGCTGGGGAGCACAGCAATATGTTCTGACCAAATCATGTCCTCAGCATCTCTGTCTTCAAGGCATAGAACCTGTCAGAACTGAGCACAGAGAAGCAGCTCACTGTGATGTGTGTGTCACCTTCCTGTTGTAAATGGAGTATGCTTCCACCCATAACCCCTTATGTGTGCACTTTCATCAAGTGATGGAAGAGTACTGATGTACTGATCTCCACTGAAGGGTTCTCCTTTTCCTGTAGCAGAATCTTGTGCAATCACATAAGAGTAAGATCTTCAGCCAGGGCTGACTACAATCCAAGTTCACCCTCTCTATCCTGTGAAGGAAGTGCGCGGAAGCTCCCATGACACATCATCTGTACTTCCTTACTTCCCCCAATCTTGGTCCAAATAAGGCAAAAATTTACTAAATAGTTGGTGTGTTCCTAGACAGGGCTGTATTTATTTCTTTGGAGGGCAAGTGCTGTTGTTTTTATGACTTAACTTAAAAATGGAAAATTGAGAAAGGGGAGTTTTGCACAGAAGTCCATGTGAAATCTTTGGAGTGTGTGTGTGGAGAGCACACATAACTGGTGTTAATGTGGCATAACTCTCTGGTCTCTGTACTGACTTACTGCTTAATGAATGTGATTCTCCTTTCAAAACAATAGGTTTGCTGCTGGTTTTTGAAGCAGAAACTTAAGCTTCTCTCTTCAGCATCTCTAGGATCAGCCACTGAGATCTTGCAATAAGGTTCTCAGATACTTCTGCTCTGAGTTCTAGTATGGGCAACTAGATCTGTCTGGTGACTCTGACTTCCTAAGCTGTCCATACCTGTTACTGTTAGCATTTCTTTTTGCAGGTGCTTAGATGTTTCACATACTTTCTTTCCTTTTTTAGGTTTGGAAGGCGTTTTGAATCCCCTCTTTTGTGGCAGAGCATTATAATGATCATTGCAATGTTACTGATGCTGAAACTGTGCACTGAGATTCGTGTGTCCAATGAGCTGAACGTGAAACGCCGCTCTTTTGCAGGTCAGTGATGGGAATTGGCTTTTTTAGGATAAATATCTCTGAAAATAAGGTGTGCTCTACTTTCAGTACAAAAGTTCTGTGTTGCAGTCTAGTCTCCCCACTGTAGCACTTTCTGAACTTTTTTTTGAAACTGCTTATTTTCCAGATAAAAACATACAGCTGAAATTTTATTTCAGACAGGTCTTAGTTCAGTGTAGAAATTGGACTTGTCCCTAGTATTTCACACCACATTCTGAATATAGAGCTGGTTCTTATGTTATTGTGCTAGTCTGAATTTTTTAAAAGATCTTGGCTGGAGTAAGAACTTGTTTTCTTCAGCTGTACTTTTTACCAAGTTAGTTATGATCTTATGCTATTATCTAAATGTTGTAATTGAAAACATTTGCTTTTGTAGATAATAATTTTCTATTTACTTGGGTTACTGACCATTGAGGAATCAGGTGTTTCTTACCATGGTTTCAAAACTATATATTTTTTTTATTTGTGTACCATTTCCTTTGGCTTTAGTGTGAGATTAGTTGGGATTTATGGGAATTTTCTCATATTTTTTATTTTGATTGATTTTGGTAATTTCAGTTGGGCCAGACTATTATTCTCTGTTTAATAAAATGTTCAATCTTTGTGCAAAGTCCTTACATTTTTTCCTGCAGATAAGAAATATGAGATGGGTAGATTTTTGTTTTTTGTTTCTCTGTGTTGACTTTGACTTACAACATTTTATATAACAGCTTTTTACCAACAAGAACAGAATTAACACTGTCAGCTTTCTGTCAGTTGTTTTGCCATTAAGGATGTATAATTTATTCTCTCCATCTGTTCTCTTCCACACTCCCTAGTAATTGAGGGTCTGATCCAATTCCAGATATCCACAGCCATCATTAGAAGGCAGCCGCTCCTGGCTGTGCAGTAGGGTAATTTATCTAATAGCTAAGGAAGCTACTTCCATTCCTGCTCATTGTGGAGTGTAGTGAGAAACTATGCAGGTAAGTGAATTTATGTGGAAGAGGAGCTGCAATCCAGCTTCCAAACACAAGCTGCTGTGTTCACAGGGGTTTTCAGTCTGGCAGGATGAATGACTTAAAAACTGCTTTCAGCCAGATTTAGCAGCAGGTAAAATCCAGGAAGCATTTGGGAGGGGCACGTATGGCTTCTTCCTCCTCTGCTGTTTGTGCTAGCATTTTGTGGAGTGACAGAGAGGTTTCTCTGTTTGCCCGTTCTGAGAGGAAATTGTTCTTGTGCACATTTACGCACACACTTGCAGGCTCCTTCAGTAACCTTTGGACAGCAAAGGGAGGCTCTTCAGTTTAATATATAGTGCTCTTTAAGCAACTCTCCCTGAAAGACATACAGTCTCCTAAGGAGTAATCAGTCCTTCTCTTGACAGATGATAGAAATTCTTTAAGGTTGCATTGTATTATATAAACCTTTTTCCTAAAACTCATTTTGTCATATGGAATTTGCTAGAGAGATGGATTTTTACCTACTTGTGGTCCTTAATTATTTGTTTTCATAGAAAGGCTTGCGTCCTCCCACAAACACTGAGAATAGTTGGAATATTTTTCTTAAATGGGATTGATTTTTGGTAAGGACAACTGTATGGTGGCTCAGAATAAACACTCAGATGCATACAAAGCTCTTTTCAAGCTGGACATAATGATAGGTTTCAAGTACAATACAAGTAGGAGTGAGAACTGTGTTTCTAATCATATACCTAATCTTATCTCTAAAGTTTTATGGTGATCTAGGCAAGCTGATAAGTCTGTGTACTTACTTTCTTTCCTTGTAGCTTACTGGGGCAGCGAAGAGCTAGGTTTGAAGTCACTGTTTTTGGTTAACCTTGCAGAATCCTGAGGGAAGGTATAGCATTTCTGTGCGATAATAAAATTGTTATTTCTCACGTGGCTGGTCTTCATTGTAAACATTTTTCTTTTTTATCCTCCCTTTGAGTGTTTCAGCAAAATAATCCAAAATATTTAGAAAGAGTAGAATATTTTAGTGGAAGGGAGTTTGCTGTTTTCTTATATTATTGTAAAATGTGGTATTTCTTCCAAGTGGCATAAGTATGTGTTTACCAGTATGTTTCCAGTTATGTGGGAATTGCCTTTTTTCCTTTTGTTTTTATTTTTCTCACAAATTAGGTCCCTTAAGTAATAACTAGTTCAGAAAGAATCTGCTTCCTATCTTGAAGCATTAAAAAGCAATCTCTTCAAATCCTGACAAGGTTGTTCTGTATTCTTTATTGTGTTTTGTGGTGTTACTGGCTTAAAATACCCAAAATGTCAATAGCTATTCAGAACATATAAAGCCATTCAGTCAATTTGCTTGTACTTTGATTTGTAGGGTAACTATCATAGCATGAGAAATGCAGTCTCCCTAGATTTTCTAGTAATGTTTGATTTTTTTTTTTTTTTTAGACTCTATACATAGAGAACTTAAAAAGATTATGTGAGGTTTTCTTAATTTTTTCCCCGTCTCACAGTTACTTCTCAATTATGGGATTTTCCTCTGCTCCCTTTTAGTATTGCAAAATGAAATTAAGTTGGAAGTGATGCAGCCCATCTTGTGCTGTTACTGCCTTCTCTGATTTTTTGTTTTGGGTACAGAGACTTTATCCTTCAGTATATACCAATTGAGAACACAGCAAATGCTGTTCATATATCCAACTGTTCTATTACCTTTTTTTTTTTTTTTAAACTTGGACTGTGTAGCCTGTTTTTAACAATTCAGGCTGGGGAAAGCCAGCACCCAAATCAGGGAAAATACAAAACTAACAAATATCCCAATTCGATTTTAAAACCTCAAGTGATAGGACAGTTCTCTCCCCTGCATAAGAATGCTTTGAAAACTACATGAGGTCTTCAGGTGAAATTAGCAGGCATGAAAAATACCTTCTTATCTTTTATCTTGTATTTAACCTCACTGCATCTTAAGTGCTCTAATGCAGCTTTTCTGGTACCATTGTTGGGGTAACAGTATTTTTCCATATTTGTTCCCAAGTTTTAAAGTTGTATCTGTGGAGCCATATGTATGCTGCATTGTTGGCTCAGTACAGAAAGGGCCAGGCTTCTTGTTAATTTTGTTGTTGTTGTTTTTGTTCAAAGTATTGTAATATTTTGGGGCATGATGGTGCTACCATGCTAAAGAGCTGAATATTGAAATACAAAATGTGGATGTGCTATGTCTTTACTCAAGAACCAAGAGGTGGCTGAAGAAAGATTGTCACAGGTACAGACAGCTGAAAAGTTCTAGTTACTTTTGGAAATGTTGGTGGGCTGGAGCAGTTTCTTCATATTCTTGGAGAGACAGACACTCTCCCCAGATCAGTCTCCCACCTCTCTCCAACAAAGATTCTAGTAATGCCCAAGACATTGTGACAGATTTTGACCCCCTTGAATGTATGAACTATACTGAACTATACAGTGGACAATATTTGTTGAAAGGAGAGTCTTGGGCATCCCTCTGTACTTGTGCAGTCCAAGCTCCACAAGTAGAACATGGGCTCCTGTGTTTTTACATTATTTCCTCTTGTCATTCATCCAGTTTTGCTGGTTGACTTAATCTCTTTTATAACTTGTATCTTATTATAGCACTCTGATCCTTTGAAGAGCTTTGGTTTTGGCACTGGAAAACTCTCTTGTGTAATATATGGTTTTCAACTGGCAGAGGAAGGTTAGGGTGAAAAAGGTTTCGCATACAGCATGGTTGCAGATGAGGTCTGTTCTCTCCTTGTTGTTGGGCTTTGTGACAGTATTTTGAATAGTGTTTTCCACCAGAGGCAAGGCAGCTACCGTCTCAGCTGTTAATACATGCATATCCACACACCCAGTGTTGCTGAGGTAACAGGTTGCTTTCTCTGATCATGAAAACTTAGAATTTATGTAGTCTAAAGTAAGAATCAAGCTGCCTGTTTCATTGTTTTTTAAGCCTTTATTTTCCCCTCATAGGTACGCTGCTGTTGGGTTGTGCACTGAGAGTGTTCTGGGACTTCCTACTGCTCAGTCTTAACATTGTGGGTTGGGAGCCTTATAGAAAGCATGGGGACTAAAATTTCTGGCATGTTTTGGTCTGGCTATTATTTTTTAATGAATAAAATGTACTAACTGACTAAACTGTAACTCAAATAACCACTGTTGCATTTAATCATAAAAGTCTGTTTGTCTTTCCTTTCTTTTTTTTTTTTTTTTTTCCTTCAACTCTTTTTTATGTAGCTGCAGATAGTAAGGATGAAGAAATCAAAGCACCACCCAAGAGATCCTATCTGGGTATGTACTGTACAAACCCATTCTGCCTGAAGTTGTCCCCTTAACCACATATTTCACGATTTGCTACTTTTTATGATCATTTTTGGAAATGATTGCATGATCATTTCTGTAGAGAATGTTTGCATTTCATTTTCTTGACATACTAAAGCCTGGTGTCTGGTTTTTTTTTGGGTTTTTTTTTTCATTTTTCACCTGTCCACTTTTAACTTTCATGGAAAAGAGGAAAAGATGCTTTCATCTTTATTTCAGAAGTCAATTCTTTGAAGGCAGTTGAATTGACCACATTGTGTGTCTTCCTTACTCCTTCCACAAGCTGGACAAATAAAGCAGAGATCCACCTCTTCAGACTCAGTTGGCCTTTTTTTAGCTCTAATGCTGGAGGAAACTATGGAATATACGGCAGTATCTTTCAGCAGATATTTCACTTTGATATTCAAGCATCCTTGTGAATATTCCCCTCTTTTTCATTATAGAGCAGCCTGAAAATTGCTATTTGGGAATTAGTAATGCCCAAGGTGAGAGCTTCCAATCTTTAGTTTCAGAGTTGGAATCTATGTTGTTTAATTTACCTAAGGAACGAGAAATATTGGGTGCAAACCAGCCTTGCAGTACTTTTTCCACTCTTAATAGTTTGGAATGACTTAATAGTTTCAGTCAAGTAATTGTAGTTTTGTTTTAAATTTGTTGGGGTATTGCATCAAAGAAGTGACGCTGACAGAGAAGTTCCCCAAAGTCAACTTTCAGATTGGTTTTAACTGAACTGATTCAGAATCTTCCACTGGTACCAGCTGTGTTCTGTTGCAGTTCTTGAGTTAGAGAGGTATCAACTCAACTGGCAGTATCTGGGGCACAGAGGAACATTACTGAGGCAAAAGGAGAGTCTCTGTATTTCTCAACACACAGTTAATCAAGCTGCTGCTAGCTCTAAGAAACTGCCCAAGAGTGGTATTAACCTGAGTGCTTTCTTGAAGCCCTAAGGCCATCCCTGTTTAATTTAAATAAAATTCTCTTTTAATGGTTCCTCTTCTGGATCTCCCCTTTCAGATTTATGGGCAAAATCCATGGTTTGGGAAATTTATCATTTTTTTTGTCTGATACCAGTATTTTTGCAAAGCACCTTTTCCTTTTGTATTTTCAAAGCATTATTTTTTCTGCATTTGGTATCAAACAATTTTCTTTCTGTTTGTCTTTAACTCTAGTTTGTGTGGTCCTTCTCACTGGCTTGCTAACACTAACCATTGGAATGTAATGTTTAAGCAGTTCTTTCTTCCTTTTGCCTGTATTCCTGTTGTCTTTTACTAGTTTCCATCAATGCTTTATTTACAGTCTCAGAGCTATAAACAGTTGTCAGCTTCAAGTGGTTAAAATTAAACAGAAATAAGTAACTTAATGCGACCTTTTACTTATTTCAATTTTTTTCCTTGTCTTTTTGGTTAAAAAATAATTTGTTGGTAGTTTGATAGCTTAAAAAGATGTAGAATAAAGCACCACACATCTTAATCAGCTGGTCTAAGTCTGAAACATTTGGTTAGTAGGTATTACTTGGGGTTTGTTTTGGAGTTGCTTAGCAAAATGGGGTGAATTGAATTATAGCTAAGGAACAAGACAGCCCTACACTACTGCTCTGAAGTTTAAAGACTGGGTGGGCAAGTTTGAAATATGACAATTCTCACTGCTATAAAGAAATTGGAAATATTTTGAGCTGTTTGTGTATAATGTGCACACAAAAGTATGTGCTGGTGGGATAAAGAGTGGAGTGCACAGTGCTGTGTGTCACAGCATATGTCATACTCAATTTACATAGGGCTTAACTGAGCTGTGCCCTGCAGTGCTGTGTTTTGCTACAGCTCTGGGGAAGCTTACTTGGAGATTAGCTGAGGGGAATATTTGCCATACTTTCATGTGCTAGTGCATTCTCATTATGTCCTTTAATGAGTTTTAATTAAAACTTCTGCTCAAGAAAAGGAAATTGTTTTTTTAATTTCCTTTGAATTGTTGAGTGGTGTAAAAACTTTTTCAGTGTATTTTTAGGCTTCTGAAATTATTATATTACTTTCTTTTTCTGGTCATGTGGTAAATTATGTCTGTAAATGAAGATGATCTCTGAAAACTATTTAGTTATAGAGCTGTTGAACAATTAAACTGAAAATATGTGGACTACCGATTAATTTTAGGTGAACTTGTTAGATAAATACAGAGGCTGTTTGGTGCTTCTCCTTGAATAGGAACTGAAGAGCTCCCTGCGATTGCTTTTAGGTTTGTTTTATTGTCAGTTCAAGAAACCACTTAATGCCACTGTTTTTCCACATGTTATCTGAAAAAGCCTTTATCTCTGTCACATGACTCTGAAAAGTGACTTTCTATCAGTCAGTACTGAGAGTTGAGGGTGTGGGGGAACGTTACTGCAGTTTGAGTGACCTAAACAATTTACAGTAAGGTTGACCCCAGGGTGTAGGGTTTTTTGATTTCATACAGAAATAAAATTATTTTCCTTTTTTTTCTTGGCGAAGGAAAGATTAAAAAGAAGTAGCTCCAGTTCTGAAGGATTAATGCTTTATTCCCTTTGTTTTCTAATTCAGGTATCTAGTTCTACCTAATGCCTGGTAGCATGGCAACTGCTGAGACTGAGCAAGGTGCAGTTGAGTTGAAATTTGGGTTTTTGCTTGTTTCTTGTTTCATGATGAGATGATTTAGAACAAATGTGAATAAATGTATTAATCTGTTTTGCTAAAATACAAATTCCATATATATATTTGAGCCCTGTGAGTGTTGGAGACTGTTGGGGTAACAAAAAACCATAGCTCCAAAGAGCCTGTATTGTTTAAAGTTGTTCAGAGTGGTTTCAGTGTGTGGCAGGTGAACCTCAATGTGGATGGGACTTGTTGGATTTTTTTTTCCTTCTAATTAGGTGGTAAAGCATTTGGAAAGACAATTCTGGGATATCCTTCTCTATCTGAAGATGGTTTCAACACTTACTGTATTACTAAATCCTGAACCTTGATTTTAGCTCAAAAAAACCTAATCAAATCACATTAAGTTTTATAACATGAGTAATAAGAACTAGTGGTAATGGAACAGCAAAAACTTAGGTTCATTGAATGCCTGTTGCAAAAGATTTGAAACTACTGAACATTTTTTGGAGGGGGAAAATATGAAATGTATGTATAGTTGAGTTTGCAGACTTATAGCTGCATAATAATGAGGAGAAAATAGTAATGTGAATTGAGCAGGTGCAGGTATCTGCTGCATGTTTCCACTGGCAGGGTGACAGCCTGGTGAATAACTCACACTTCCACCTCTCCTTTTGTCCGTGCTCTTTAGTTAGCTCAGGACATCAGTTGGCTTGTGTTGTCCAACAGCACCACCACAGTGTTGACATATTTTAGAACAGCACTATTACATTACATGTGCCATGAAGGATGTAAACTTTATTTAATCTATTTAATCAGCTCTCTGCTGCCTTCTGTTCAGTGTTAGGTCTGTTTTAAGGCTCAGCAGGGCATCCTGCACAGCTTGCGGGTGAGCACTGTGTCTTTCCAGGGGTGCTCTCTTAAGTCACACGCACAATGTGCTTCTCTGTCCAGCCCTGACACCCTGAGCAGAGCTGGGGACGCAGCAGAGGCACAGCTTTCCTTGCTGGTTGTGGGGTGCACCTGGGTTTTATTGAAAGTGCTTGACTTCTGCACTGTGCTACCCAGTGGTTGAATTCCCTGTACAGCTGGAACAATGAGAGCAGAGTTGTTGCTGGGGTGTCACTGCCTCTGTCTGTGCATAACTGAACATGGAAGTGTTCTTGGAAGGATTATATGTATCCTCATTAGACTAATTTCAGAGTGCTTTTGTTAGTATTTTGGGGAGGATGTTCAGGAGAAGGGATTGTCATGGCATGTCCGTGAGAAAACAGGATGCCAAAAGGATATTTTTTTTTGCTTTGCTTTTGTTTTGCTTTGTTTAGTTTTGTGGTTTGTTTTTTTGTTTTTTTTTTTTTTTTTTTTTTTTTTTTTTAAATTTAAAAAGGATTACAAAAAATAGTGGAGTTCTAGTTGTTGAAGAATTCAGGTCTACTCTGCCTTAGAAAATGGCACATGTCTGCATTAACACTTTGGTTGTAATTCTGTGTATGATGGGAACAGTTATTTCCCTTTGTCTTTCTCTGCATCAATTTTAAGACCTTTTAAGAGACCAAAGAGAGTAAGAAATTAAGATTATAAACACGTAGGGGCAATTCAAAATTTCAAGTACATACTTAAGTGGTAAACATTGGTGTCTTTTTTAATTCATAATTTTGGTTTTTTTTAGTTGATGTTGCAAAAGAGACCAACACAAGTGGAAAATAATTTGTCTTTACAGGTATGGGTCTGTGCTGGAGGTCTAAGTTACTTATTATTCAAACATTTCAGAATAATTGTGTCCAAATAGAACACTATAGAGTTTTCTTTAAAAGATTGTTGACATACTGAACAGGTTGAACCGATAACTTTTTTTTTTGTTAAACTTCAGACAGAGAGAGAATAGTTCAATTAAAAAAGTTGTTCCTTTATTTTCATAGGGAATTTGTCCTGAACCATTGCAAGTTGAACACTAAAATAATGTTCTTTCAGAAAACATGAGAAAAATGGGTTTGGATCTGTTTTCTGGAACCAGTTTTATGTTTCCCAGTAGATACTCTCTTTCAGGCTTTGAAGTTCCATTCAGTGTAAATCTTTCTTCAGCCCCTTAGGCTAATGGACCTCAAATAAAGTTCTGTGGCCTTTTATGTCCTGTTGAAAGTGTTGAAAGTGGTTCAGTAGGTGGGCATACCTTTTTGCAGGCTTATCTGGTATTGTTCAGAAGGTATAAAAGGGAAGGGTAAGTTTAAATTCTGTATTCCAGAGGGACCTTTTCCTTTCAGAAAAGACAGCTGGGAAGGGAGAAACCCAGAGAATGATTTTGGAGGCCTCTGAGCAGCTATGATCTCTGCCTCTGGCAGTTTGCAGTTTCCTTAAGGTGAGAGATCCAGA